CACACTATCCCGTAGACCTCCTCACCTTCTACTTCCGATTTACCAAAGTAACCCCCGCAAAAGCTTCTTATTACTATCTAGTCCTCCAAGCTTCTAATTACCAAACCAGCCCTACAAAACCGCTTCCCGTGTCTCATGTCCTTAAAACCACCCCTCACGTATTAAAATATACGTGTTATTTTAATATACCATAGAAAAATTATAAAAAATACTGAAAATTATATTAATTTAATATTTTTTATGGTAAAAAAAATACTTTAAATAAATGAGTGAACCATATTTTTAAAAAATGCCCTCATTTGCATCGCACGATATTAATCATAATAAATTCAGTAGTGCGATTAATCAAAGGCATGCATGATCAAATTAATCTAAGGTGTTTTAAGCAAGATATAGATTTCAAATGAAAGCGTACCATCAGTGAAAGAGAAATGAAATAATAATATATTTACAGGATCAAAGCAAAGTGATGAAGGGCATTTTTTGTAAATATGTGGTTTGATCCTGTTAATAAAAGCGCTTCTCAAATAAAAGATGATGGATTCAGTGCAAAATGTGTAAAGGACATTTTTGTAATTACGCAAGACTTCCAAGAAATTTAACTTTTTTGTCTGTAGCTTTGAGTACTCAAAGTGGCAGTTTTTTCAGATTTCCATAAAAAAATCTTCTGCTCACTCTAAAAAGTTGAAAGCTTGAATCAGAGACAGACTGCTCCCATCACTGAACCACCCACACAGCACAAAGATTTTATGTCATCTAGTAAGTGCAAAGATCATCATCATCAATGTCACCCTTCAAGTGAAAAAGTCATGCCTTTCTCCTTCAAGACCCCAAAGCCATGAAACAATGCCGCTGGTGATCAGTGAAATGACACTAGCCATCTTCTTCGCTTTCATCCTCTCCCTTCTCTTACCAACCTCAAATGCCTTGCTTGTTTCCAAATTTGCAACAAGCAACACATTTACACCATCAGCTCCCTGCAACCCAATACAAAGCAGTAGAAGCAAGAAATTAGAGACTGCCAATGTCCTTGTCACAGGACACTCAACCATTTCAAGCCTAAACAAGACATTCAATCTGGGTTTCGTTAACCCAGGTGGGAAACCCAATTGGTACCTGGCCATTTCGTATGCTTCAATTCCAACACCACCAATAGTTTGGGTAGCAAATCGTGAAAAACCCATTACCAATCTCACCTCTACAAGGCTAGAAATCACCGCGGAAGGCAAACTGGCCATCATTGCATTACCGGGTTTAACGATTTGGCAAAGCACAAACACAGAAGAAGCAAGACGCTTGCTCCTTCAAGAGAATGGAAATCTTGTTCTTTTATCGGCCGAAGGGTTGATTGTTTGGCAAAGTTTCGATTTTCCAACAGATACATGGCTGCCAGGCATGAATATTACAAGTGAAAGATCTCTAATTTCATGGAGGAGCATAAACGATCCATCGCCTGGTTTATTCTCTCTGAGGATAAACCCGCTAGGGTTTAATGAATTTGAGCTTGTTTATAACAAGAGTGCCAGGTATTGGAGTACAGGTAATTGGACTGGTGATGCATTCGATGGTGTACCTGAAATGACTATTCCTTACATTTATAAGTTCCATTTTTCGGATCCTTTCACGCCAAGTGCATCCTTTTGGTACACAGAGAGGGAATTAGATGGTGGTTTAAGGCCACCATTGACTAGGTTTCAAGTTGATGTTATTGGGCAGTTGAAGCAGTACACTTGGACTCAGCAGAATGAGTATTGGAACATGTTTTGGTCACAGCCAGACAATAAGTGCAGAGTTTATGGATTATGTGGGAATTTGGGTGTTTGTAATAGCACATTGTTAAAGCCTTGTGTTTGTGTTTCTGGGTTCGTTCCTGTTAGTGATTATGATTGGGAGTCTGAGGATTATACTGGTGGTTGTGTCAGAGAGAGGAGGGATTTGTGTGAAGAGAGTGATGGGTTTAGGGAGGTTGGTGTTGTGAGATTTGAGGGAGCGGCTATGGTGTCTTTTGGGGGGACTAGGAATGTTTGTGAGAGGACTTGTTTGAGTAATTGTTCATGTATCGGTTTGTTTCACGATGGGAAGACAAACTTGTGCAAGAATCTATATGGATCTTTGTTGAATTTGAGAAATTCCAGTTCTGATAGTACTTTTCAAGATGTGTTATATGTCAGGGTGCCGAAGGAGGGGATTGTGAGGAAGGGTGTGTCGAAATCTGTGCTTTTGATTGGTAGCATTGGTGGGTCAGTTGTGCTTTTGGGGTTGGTGGCAGGGATGCTGCTGATTTTGAGAAAGAGAAGAAAGAACGGCAAGGGTGTGGAAGGAGATGGTGTGTTTCCAGGGTTGAATTTGAAAGTGTTCACTTATAAAGAGCTTTGTGCTGCAACTCGAGGCTTCTCGGATAAACTTGGACATGGTGGATTTGGGGCAGTGTTTCAAGGCGAGTTGTTGGATTCTACTCTTGTTGCTGTGAAACGCCTTGAAAGGCCAGGCAGTGGAGAGAAAGAGTTCAGGGCAGAGGTGTGTACTATTGGAAACATTCAGCATATCAATCTTGTCAGGCTTAGAGGATTTTGCTCAGAGAGTTCTCACAGGCTTTTAATTTATGATTACATGCCAAATGGCCCTTTGAGTGCGTATCTGCGACGAGATGGTCTGAATTTGATCTGGGATGTTAGATTTCGTGTAGCAGTTGGTACTGCTAGAGGAATTGCATATTTACACGAGGAATGTAGAGATTGTATTATCCATTGTGATATCAAGCCAGAAAACATCCTTTTGGATAGTGATTACACAGCTAAGGTATCTGATTTTGGCTTAGCAAAGCTTATAGGTCGCGACTTCAGTAGAGTATTAGCTACCATGAGAGGTACCTGGGGCTATGTTGCACCAGAATGGATATCTGGTGTGGCAATTACCACGAAAGCAGATGTTTATAGCTACGGAATGACATTGTTGGAATTGCTTGGAGGCCGTAGAAATGTAGAGGCACCGCCATCTGTTCGTGGTGCTGGTGGCAGGGAGGGTGAAAAGGCAGAGAAATGGTTTTTCCCTCCATATGCTGCACAGAAAATAATCGAAGGCAATGTGGCAGCAGTGGTGGATGATAGGCTAGGCAGCGCATATGACATTGAGGAAGCTCAGCGTGTTGCCTCGGTTGCCGTTTGGTGTATACAGGATAACGAGGAAATGAGGCCTACAATGGGAATGGTAGTGAAAATGCTAGAAGGGGTAGTCGAAGTGCCCACTCCTCCACCACCAAAATTGCTACAAGCACTGGTGTCCGGGGAGTCTTATCATGGTGTTCAGATAGATTCTGGTAAGGGAGTATCTATAGGTGGTGATTGTTGTGGTGATAATGCAGGGGTATATAGTTATGGTTCACCTTCATCTCTTGGTAATGCCTCTTCACCAGCTAAATGAAAATGTGAAAGTTAACTGACAAGCGTCCTGGAGATTGGTGGATAGCTGAGGAAAAACTAATTCCTGCTCCCCCTCCCCTCCCATTTTGCTTTCATTTTAGGTGAATTGTAGCCTTGAACGGTATCAGAAATGTAAATGGAATTGCTTGTTGCTCAAATTTTCAAGCTCTTCAAGATTCTATTGTCCCATTATTTATGCTGCGTCCGTTTCATATTTGATGATCATTCGTGTGCCAAGAGCCGAGATTCATTAGATCTGTCATGCTTCTTAAAATGAACGTTATTTGTACAATTGAAGACCAGCACACGTCATTCCAGTGATCACAGATTCGAAAAGGAGGAGAAAGTTGGGCCTGGATGGCCATGTTTAGCTATTGGTGTTTATTGTTTGCAGTGTTCCCCTAGCTAAAAGTCAACCACTCACTGGTGGCCTGTCAACTTCAAAGTGGCATGTGCTTCACTGGAGTTTGTTTTACAGCGTGACTATTTTTTTTATATTAAAATATATATTAAGATTTACAGCGTGACTATTTTTTAAATAATTTTTTATATTAAAATATATATTAATAATATTTTTTTACTTTTTAAAAATTATTTTTAATATTAATATATTAAAAAAATCTAAAATATATTAAATTTTAATAAAAAATTAAAATTTTAAAAAATATAGTTATTCCCAAGTGGGTCCTGATAGCCGGCTTCACTTTCTTCTTTCTTTTCATGTTTTGGCAATTGGCAGGAGAGGTCTTGTGGGTCATGATCACCATTTGACAATCCCTCAGGTAGACAGGCAGTTTTAATATTAATATATTAAAAAAATCTAAAATATATTAAATTTTAATAAAAAATTAAATTTTAAAAAAATATAGGTTACATCATATTCCCAAGTGGGTCCTTATAGCCGGCTTCAATTTCTTCTTTCTTTTCATGGTTTGGCAATTGGCGGGAGAGGTCTTGTGGGTCATGATCACCGTTTGACAATCCCTCAGGTAGACAGGCAGTTCAAGGATAAAGAAGAGGGCAGACAGGGAGGGATTATACGGTGTATGCCCCATAACGTTTTGTCAAATACTGTCCATTACCTGCCTAACCGTTTGCTTTGTTCTATCCAAACATACCAATGAGCAGAGCCCCTTTTGAGCCTCCTGCTGTGTGCTGTGAATCGGGTTCATGAATGCCCTTTTCAACCCTCTCTAGCATAAAGAAAACACGCCACCATCATTCTTATTTTTGTCAAAAAGAACATCCTATATTCTCAATGCCACGAAAAACCTCAACGTTCTTTTTAAACACAGGTATCTTCTCTTTCTGGCCCTTCTAAATGCATCTGAAAGCATGGAAAATTTTGTGGTTTCCATTTCATATTTTCATTTAGACTATCACGAAGCACGAGTTATGAAGTTAGATAACGGGTTGGCTCAGTTGACAAATGGATACTCTCTACGTCACCAACAGGATTTAACTTTGAAATCAGAAATTTCATAAATCTTATAGTTAATAATTTATTTGAGAATATAATTATGGTTGGTTTTTTAATAATTTTTCATATTAAAATACATGTAAATTTTCTTGGGATTGGACATGCAAAGATCATGGATAATTCAGTTTGTTGCTTGCTTATTCCTGTTGCCTCTCTATATATTTGCCACTCCAATCCTAAAACTCCTTGGACAACGAAAAGATGTAGCAGAGCTTACCGGCAAATTTACTATTCGAGTTATTCCTCAAATGTTCTCATTAGCCATCAATTTCCCTACCCAAAAGTTCTTGCAGGCACAAAGCAAGGTTGGAGTTTTGGCATGGATTGGTTTTGCAGCTTTGATCATGCACATTGGAGTGCTTTATCTCTTCGCTAACGTATTCAAGTGGGGGTTGGTTGGTGCTGCCATTTCTTATGACGTCTCTCAGTTTGGGTCATTGCTTTGGGTCAGTTGGCTATGTGGTTGGTTGGTGCAAGGAAGGAAGGACAGGATTGTCTTAGTTTGCCTTCAAGGACATTTGGGCCTTTGTTCGGCTCTCTACAGCTTCAGCTGGATCCTTTTCCTGCAGATTTGGTATTTTATGGCCATAATTGTTCTCACTGGACACCTTGAAGATCCTATCATCGCGACTGGGTCACTTCCCATCTGGTGAGAAATCCCTTTGCTGAATTAACACTTCCTGTTTGCATTCAGTATCTCACAGTAGCAAAGAAAAAGAAAAAAAAAGAGTTGAAAACATATTCCCAAGCAAATCTTAGAAGCACCTTGAGAGAAGCAGAAACACCATTTCCTGTTTGATTATAGGAGACATGCTACAGAACTATTATTGGTTTATTGATTTTGGCTGCGCTTCAGCATGAACATCGATGGTTGGGAAGGCATGTTGTTTATTGGAATCAATGCAGGCATAAGGTAAAGCTAACCTTACCTCATTTTCTGGCCCCCTTTTATATATATATATTGTACTGATCGAACCAACGCAAGCATCTGAACAGGTTTATTCTTTACATTACCATCTACTGTTATTCAAAATGTAAGGAAATTTCTCTGTAAAGAATCAGTCAGGGCAGAACTGGCCTAACTAGTCGAATTAAACAAAAAATAACAATACGAGCGACATACATTTCTCCTAACACGATGAAAATTTTTCTTGCATCGAGCATTGCATTCGTTTCCCAAAGTCATTTCAAGAATTAGACAGTGTATTAAACAATGCAGAATAATAATTGTTTTTAAAGCATTTTTCATTTTAAAAATAAATTAAAATAATATTTTTCATTTTAAAAAAATTATTTTAACATCAGCATACCAAAATTATTTAAAAATATTAATTTCAAATAAAATAATTAAATTTTTAAAAAAATATTTCGGAAACCCAATGTAAATCATGCATGTAGGTTTTGTCCTCTACAAATAATGTTGCTTCTTTATATGGAAGGAAGGGGTGAAAATTAAGGAAGGGAAAACGAGATGAAAAGCTCCTCCTCGTGTTTGGATGGAGAGAAAAAGGAGCAGTGAAAATCAAGAAAAATTTGTTTTACCTTGGCTTGGATGCTTGAAGAAACATGATGGGAAATTTTGAGGAGTGCAATTACATTTAAAACAAAATAATCTTTTTATGAAGTGAAATTTGTAGATCTAACACTTCAAATCAAATTCTGATAAATAAATAAATAACCCACTTCCTCTGCAAGTCGGAGAGAAAAGATTCTGCGGATTGAGTACGATTTTCTCTTCATCTTCCGTTTCTCCTCTGATCTTAGAAGGGAGAAAATGACGACAATCCGGCTTCCCACTTTCCCTCGTTCCAAACACGGCGTTTCATGTTTTGTTCTCTAGATTCCTTGTCCGCATCAAGTTTGGGGGCGTTCTGGTATTTTCTGAAAACGGAACCCTCCTCTGCAATTCTTTATAGTCTTCCCACCTTTTCTTATGACCCACTTTCTAAATGTCTAATATCACCAATGCCACTCAAATTCTGTTTATTCCCGGGCCTCGCTTTCGTCTTTCGGTAATTACCATACTAACCCCGTTTCTCACTTTGAGTAACGGCGACGTAGCCCATGTAACAATCCCTGTCCTCTTTTTTCGAACGCCAACTTTTCTTTAATTTCGAAATCACACTCACAAAATTCAAAAACATGATTGAATCAAAAAACAAATACTACCATTATAGATATTATTCACAGTTCACCTATTTATCAATATTAATTTAATAAGATCTTTCACCGTTGAAAATTCTTAATCTGACCGTGTGCTGTTGTTTTCTTCATCTTATTAGGTCTTAATTTTTAAAATATACTAGCTACTTGGTCAATGCTTCGTCATCAGTTGGGTAAAAAAAATATATATAAAAAAATAAATATATAAATCTTTTCAACATGATTTTTACAACAAAAAAAATTCTTTTTGTAAATTAAAAATTTATTACATGTATTTAATTAAGTAGATTAAAAATCATTTGTGTCACTGAATATATATAAAAAAAATTGTTAATAATAATCAATGACTAAATAAAAAAATTATGAGATAGATACAAATCAAAATATTTGATATTGCAGCACGAATCATGTATCCGATTATATTTGATGGTTTTGTTTCTTATAATAATCAATGACTAAATAAAAAAATTATGAGATAGATACAAATCAAAATATTTGATATTGCAGCACGAATCATGTATCCGATTATATTTGATGGTTTTGTTTCTTATAATTATTTTTATATATGATCAAATGATAATAAAAGCGCATACACGTATAAAAGAGATCGAATAAAATCCAATATATATAAAGCCTATCGATATTAAAAAAAGAAATGTTATTGTTTCATGTGAAAAAATTAAATAATATTTAATTAAAAATTAAATTGAAAAGTTAAGAGTTTGACATTGATTTAGATATTTAATTTTGAAATGTGAAGTTATGAATCCTATTATATTTAATAATTTTATTTTTTTAAATTAATTTTTTATTTAACAAAAAATAAATGCATGACAAAGAAATAAAATATATGAAGAGATGCGCGCGCACACAAAAGACTACTAGTATAAAAAAAAAAATTGCAATCTTATTTGTAAATTATGTAAAAATTAAGCCATATTCTATTAAGAAACATTATAAAAATCAATCTAATTTATTTATTTTAAATAACCTCAATTAAAACTCAATATTTTTTAGGTTAGACATTTTATGCACACATTTAATCAATATATTTTAATTAATTAATATTTATTTCTTTTTTTTTTAAAGAAAGTAAAGCTAAAAAGGAACCTAGTGTGTCTGGCCTATTAACAGAGAAGGTAACACGTATGGGTCTATAAAAATAGACCGGTGTGCTGGATTTTTTTTTGATAAATAGATAAATAATAAATTACATGTTATTTATTTAAAAAAAAAATTAAAGAAAATTGCATGCCTGCACATAATTCAACCAACACAGCAATGATTAAAAAATAAAAGAATATTTTTTATTTTAAAATTTATTTTTCAGCTTATTTTCATCTAAAAATCCTTATAAAAACTTTTATAACATTAAAAAAAACATTTTATCAACTAAAAAATCCTAAAAAATAACCTACAAACACAGTTAAATTGATACAAAATTATTTCTCATGACCTCGAACTATTTTTTAAAAAAACATAAAGATTTAAAAACATCTTAGTGGGATATTTCTTGTGAAATGAAATTCATTAACATTAAAATTAATTTTTTTTATCATTAAAATGTAACCAGCTAAGAACTTTCCATAATAACCCCAATTTTCTTTTATCTTCTTTTATCACGTTCATTGTAACATAGTATTGCAATTTAAAGTACATGGATTTTACACATTTACAGCAACATATTTTCACCGCATGGGACTTCTATGTTTATATATTACCTCTGGCACAAAAACAACTTCTTTTTTTCTGTCTTTCATATTTCCTCAAACAAATCAACTATTATATGATTCCAAAATATTCAGTTATGGGATGATTGAGCTAGTTATGGCATAAAACCAACACATTCATATTAATGCAAATCGAACCTAAAACCTAGTCCACGTGATTATAGAGGTTGAAGAAAAACTAATTAAGATATACATGTTTAATTTAGGTTTACACACTACTCGGTTATAAAATCATACTACATAACAAAAATACAACAAAAAATAAGTATTGATTTCATCAAAATTATAAACGTGATATCCATTATTTGTTATGTCATTTTGAGGTACCTAAAATTTATATAATACTCACTTAATTAGCTTATATACATAATATTTACTATCATTACTTTTATGTGAAATTATTCCTAATTCACACAATTTATATAATTTAAGAACACAACATCTTCTCTTGCCAAACCAACACTTGTTCTGTTTCTACGTTATGGATTTTTGTAATTTCCCATTAACCAGGGCACATGTCACAATAATCTCATGGACTGGTTTCTCTAATTTTTTATTAATCAAGAAGTTGTTCTATTTATCAGGGATCAAAATCCCCATTTGCCCATTAACCAGAACATCGATTCCGTCGGGTAATTAATCAAAACAATAATCTCATTAATCAGGAAATTAATATCTTTATTTACCTATTAACTAGGATATTAATCTCATTATTAAAATAACTAGTTTTTAAATCACCCATTAAGCAGCTATCAGTTTTTTTATCAGGATAACTAGTTTTTTCAATAATTTAATATTTATCAAATAAAATTACTATACATTTAAAAAAAATTACAAATACAATTAAATAATATTTAAATTTTAAGATGTCAATCACTTACCTAACTTTGCGTGAAATGGTTCCCTGCTGAACGAGGATTACAACATCTCCAAGTGATAAAGTAAACTTTTACCCTTAACCAATCAAATTTTTTTGGCAATTCCTATTTTCCCCCTTGTGGCCGGTTCTAACCATCTTCAAATTTTCAAATTCTCTCAATCATTGCGTGAAATGGTTCCCTGCTGAACGAGTATTACAACATCTTCAAGTGATAAAAGTCCTTAACCAATCAAATTTTTTTGGCACTTCCTATTTTCCCCTTTCTGGCCGGTTCTATCCATCTTCAAATTTTCAAATTCTCTCAATCTCCTTCCTTTGAGTATTGCGTTGATGGTGTTTCCCACTACCTAGATTAATCTGACTCAAACCCCTTCGATTTTTATAGGATTTTCTCTGAAGTTTTGTAATTAAGTTAGAAGAAAACCTCCTCCCTCCTCTTTTTTTTCACTCTTGCTGCCGGTTCGGAGTATTTTTTTTAGTCAAATCTTTTAACAATTATAATTTGACCTATTTTGCTTAATTATTATATTCTGACCCCATCTTTTCTTCTCTTAACAATAATGTCGTTCTTTCTTGTATTTATTTTAATTCCATTATTTGTTATTTAATTTTAAATCCTCAATTAAAAAGAATGTGGATGGTATCCTGGATCTCCTCACTTGGACTTCAATCTTTGTTATTTAATTTTAAACCCTCAATTAAAAAGAATGTTATCCTGGATCTCCTCACTTGGACTTCAACAGTTACTAGGTTCGGTCCTTGCATTTTAATTTGTTTTCTTTTGAGACCTTTAAGTGGCGGAATTGTAATCGTGTCTTCTCTCTTCATCTCTCTCTCATCTCATTTCCTTTTCCTCCTACTAAACATAAATCAACCACGA